TAAACTTTCAAAGCAAACAAGCAATAACAAGAGATCAAAACCACCACGGTCCGCAATAAGTGCTGCTACATGACGTGGCATGGACTCAAGCAAATTTTGAATGTCTGTCTGAGGAAGAGAATTCAATACTGTTAGTATGCATTCCCAAAGTTCGTCTGTAGAAGCAACAGGACGAGGATTACGAGCGAGACGCCGACCAACGAAATCCCACACATGTTCTATCTGCGACATATCCGGGGAATACGCCGACCAAGGAAGAAGTTGTACCTGTCGCGATGCAAGGAAGGATTGAACAGTCCTAGCAATACGAGGGTGGTCATTGTGCTGTTAAAATACAGCACCTGGCAAGGCTTGAAGGAAGGGAACAGCTTGGGGCTGTAGAACTTCACTGATGTACCGGTTGCTGTTCAGATTACTCACAATTCGTAGCAATTGAGATCGTCCATGATATGCTATGTCACCGCAGACCATAACCCCGGGTGTTCGTCCACTGTGGCGTTCGATAACGCACTCCGGAAGATGGCGTTCACCACCAGTATTACGTCTGACACGAATGCGGCCACCATGGTACCCCAAATTGAAGCGAGATTGATCAGAAAACACGACACGCTGCCAATCAGCAAGCCAGTTCCTATGCTGGTTGCCCCATTGCTGCCGCAGGCGGCGAAGGTTTAGTGTGAGGGCGATCCTGTATAAAGGAGTCCTTGCACGCAGTCCACGCTGCAGTAGACGCCTACGAATTAATAAAGCACACAATGAAACACCTGTAACTATTGACCATCGTGCTGCCAGTTGTCTAGAGGGAGCCGTACGGTCCATTAGCGTAACGCCGAACAGGTGTTTATCATCGCGAGCTGACGTGGCATTTCAGGGTCCACTCCCGGATTTCCGAGTTGTCCAACACTCGTCCATTTACTGCTTTCAAACACGCATCACTGTGTTGCTGTTACGCTGCACACGAGCGGCTATTGCACGATAAGATAATCCAACTTCACGAAGGCCGATGATTCTCCCCGTTTAAACTCCGTAAGTTGTTGAAACCTCGCTCTCTTTCGTCGAATAGGCATAAGTAATGACTAAGCAAACATTTACCACTAGCAGGTAACCACCGATAACCATACTCGATTGGCTACAGCCGTCTATTTATTCGGATCTATCCGCCGTTCAGAGGGTGCTGCTCAGCATACGCTTGCGCTACGGGTCTGAAATTCTTATCATTTGCATATCATGCTCTACTTTGCATTTCCTGAAAATTTCAGCTCACTCGCGTAAGTCCTTCATGGTGTTGCAATTTTCACAAACATGAGTTTATATT